TAAATGTCTGATAATGATATTTTGCCTGATAAACGATTTTTTGCCTGATAAATGATTTTTTGCCTGATAAACGATTTATTATAGTCATTGTTAATTATAAAAAATCACGGGATACCGGATAAGGTTTATTACGGTTAACCAGTTAGTAATGATGTAAGCAAGTATCAGCTTGAAAATTTTCGATTCAATTGCAACTTTCCTACTCAATTTTCTGTTTTGGTGAAGAATTTTTCATATATGACTCCATTTCTTCATAAATATTTTCGGAATAATGCGCTTTTACGGGACGAACTTTCGAAAAATCTGCAGAACTAATTTCTGAAAATCGAATAAGAGGAATATAATGTTTTCTTCATTGGATCATAATTCATATTATTATACCTGTCTTTATCACAGAAGTCTGATAAAACCTCATTTAATCGAATAATCACAGATAACGATGGAAAGTCTACCTAAGGCATAATTGCTAAAGGACAGTATTTTGAAGTTTTTCACAATTAGTAAGTTTAAATGCTGTATGAAGAACGAGAATGAAATTTTGTTGGACCCAAGTTGATTGTTTTTCAATCAAATATTCTTGAACATGATTAAATAATTGCTCGAGAAGTAGTTCTTCGGAAACAATTAAAGACCAAGAATATCAACTCCAGATTGTTTTATTAAATCCATTTCGCCTGCAAGAATATAACTTAATTGTATTGAAAAAAAAGGTGATTTGTTATTTGGTTATTTCAAATCTTTTTGAGCACACATGAGTATCATTTCAACACATTAGGATTAATGTTCGGTTTTTTAAACTCGATTATATTATTATTATTTTTTTTGTAGCCCTTCTATCCGAGAATGCACTTTTAAAATAAGGAGAATGAGCTCTCAAAATATTTGAAAGTGCACCAAATTCTTTTTTATTTTGATATTTTCCTATTTGGATAACTACATTATGGTCATCTGCGCCATGCAACTTGAACAAAAGGTCTTATGAAAGTCCAGCATGAAATATTTAGTCATCTTTTTTTTATTTTTTAAAAAAAGCTGTTACATATCATATTTCATCGTTGAGCGATCCACAGTGAAACCGATTTGTGTTATTCCGATTTAAACCGGTTCATTATAAACCTGTTATGCATTAAAATTCAAACTCTGAAATTTATAAATAGATATTTCCATATAAATGGACAATTTTGTTTTGTTTGTTTTAAGTTTGTTTAAATGGTAGACTAACCTAATAAATGCGTTTTTCACATATTATACGCCACATATGCATAAAAAGACTAGAAATGTGTTTGGAAATTCTCGAAAAAAAAAATTTTTTATTTATTTGTTTCATCATATTGATATCTAACCCAGAAAAGTTATTTCAAATTTTTCTGTAACGTAATATTGTAGAAAAGAATTACTAGTTGTAAATGTTTAAGTGCATAGACTTAAATGGTTATATTTTAACAAAACTCGTTTGTTTTAAAAAAGTAAATTATTTAAATGCACAGCGTATTCTTTATGTATAATTTCCTAAAAAGAACGTTCGTAAAATAGATTTTACCTAGTTTAGAAGTTTATTTATTTGGATTCTAAATATGTAAGCACATTAAAACATTATAAATGGACTAAGGTCGGCTTATGATTAAAAAAGTGTTCATTGTTCTAAAGGTTAAAGTTTATTGGAATCCTAATAAATATATACGACAATAAATAATTTTTTTTTAAAGGATTATCTTTCGATGTTTGTTATACTAAAGGCCTCGATTTCCTCAATTTTGTAAGGATTATTATTTTCAATTAAATTATGCTCATAAAATCCGCTTTTACCTACATATAAATAATTATTTTTTGTATATAAATCACCACCACCAAAATTAAATCCATAAGTGTTATTATATGAGTTGTATTCATATATAGCATTATTAAAATATTGCGAAGTTACACGACTTAATTTCATATTTTGCGTGTCTACATCATTTTCAAAAGAAAAAATAAAACAATCAGCGGAACGAGCGAAACATTCACCAAAGTCATGGTTATAAAATCTGATTGGAGAATAACCACCGAATATTTTTTGCAAACCTTGACACTTGACTAAAATTAAGGTTGGAACCTGTAAATTATATTTGTTTCTAAATGAATTATTATCGATCCCATCTTGGCTACCACGATAAATAAGGTTAAACATGTATAATGGATCTTCTTTGCTACGGATAGCATTTGCGTCCTTTTTATTCATCCAATTAATAATGATAGAAGCAAGCTTTGGCTTGATAATTTTCGATTCAATTTGAAACTTTCCAATTCGTGGTGGTAAAGTTGTTGTTTTTGGTAAGGTGTTATTCGCATATGACTCCATCATATCTTCAAAAATATGTTTAGGAAAAATGCTCATGTACGGATGAACTTTATCATAAAAGTCTGCAGAACTAATTTCTGAAAATCGAATAAGAGGAATATACCGTTTTAAAGTTTTCTTCAATGCTTCATAGTTCTTATTATTATACCTGGTTCTATCACTTCCCAAACCAGAAGTCTGATGGATTCCCCATTTAATTAAATAATCCCAGATCACGATCTCTTCGATCTGTAAATCGTCTCGTTTAAGCAATTCATAAAGAACATCTTTATCAAGTGATGGAAATTCTTTCGAGGATATAAATGGTAATGGTTCAGAGCAAATGGATTCAAGACAGTAATTTTGAAGCTTTCCACAATTGATAAGTTTAAATGCTGTATTAAGGATGAGGACTAAATTTTGTTGAATCCAGATTGATTTATTTTCAATTAAATAACTCTGTACATGGTTGAAGAATTCCTCGAAAAGTAGTTCATCGGAAGCAACTAAAAGTCCAAGAATATCATCACCAGATTGTTTAATTAAATCAATTTCTCCTGTATAAATGTAACTTGATTGAATTGAAAAAAAGATGATTATTAGGTAATTTTGGTTTGGTTTCAAAAAAAAAAGATGAGATGCTTAATTTCTTGAACATACTTGAGTATCATTTCGAAAACATTAGGATTAACGTTCGGTTTTTTAAACTCGATTATATTATTAATTTTTGTAACCCATTCATCCGAGAATGCACTTTTAAAATAAGGAGAACGAGCTCTCAAAATAATTGAATGTGCTCTAAATTCTTTTATATTTTGATCTTTTCCTACTTGAATAACTACATTATGATCATTTGCGCTATTCAACATGAATAAAAGGTCTTGTGAAAGTCCGGCATGAAATTTTAATGTCATTTTTTTTTTTTTTTTTTTAAAAAAAAAAAAAAAAAAAAAAAACAAAAAAGGATTTTATTAAAATGATTTGTGTTACCGACCAATTATATATACAATGTAGTACGGAACGATCTTTGTTTGACCTGCCTGCTTATACATGCCGTTGATTTTATATTAAGAATTTAACCAGGTCATTCGACTATTTTGAAATGATCCTAAATGACGAACAGACTTAGTCATTTGAGGTTAATTAATTTACAATATCAGCCAATTTTAAAACATATGCGAAGTTAAATAAAAAAAAAAGTTTAAGATGAAATTATATAACTCTAACCCCTTAGTAAATAAAGAGCTAGTAAGGAATAGTTAACTGAAATTAATTATCGGTGAGTAATAATATTGACATAAATTCTTCAATATTTGTCAAATGACCTGGTTATTTGGTCATTTGAGGTCAGTCAATTAGATCTCTTGCATCAGTCCCTTCATTAAAATAATGTTTTAATTGCTAACAAAAAAAAAAAAAATAATTATAATTAATAATTAGCACTCGCTTAATCTGTGATATGGGGAATCAATTTCATCATTTTTTATTTTCCCCCATCTCATGTGAAGATTGACAATTAAATTAACGTAATCACATTAATAAATAAATAAATAAAAATTATATTGTATTATTAACAAAAATATTATATTACATTTTAAACTTCGCTAATTAAAATTAATAAAAATGTTTTTGAGATCACTATAGTTTTTCAAGATAAAATAAAAAATAAAAAAGTTTTCTAGTTTAATATGGAAATCCGAGAAATATGTTACAAAAAGTTGACTCTATATGGAGATTTATAATATAAGCCCTTGAAAGTATCTATGTTATCCAAAGGTCTTCCAAAATTAGTCAACGTTGATTTTAAGTTCAAAAAAATTAAATTATTAAAATTAATCTATCGAAATATATTAAATTACAAAATATTTACATTAAAAACTTCAATTTCCTCCGGAATAAATTTAACATCACTTTGTACCTTATGATCATAATAACCTGAAAAGTTTGGATAAACAAAATGATCCATCTTACGAAACGTACTGGCGAAATAAAATTTATTATTAATCCATTCATTCCTTGCATAACTGACACATCCTTTTAACCTATTGTCAAACTCTAACAAACGGCTTATTCTCATATTTGTAGTATCCTGATCATTTTCAAATGAAAATATGAAGCTATTTTGTTCACTATACCATCGACTCCTTGGAACAAACTTTAGTGGATTATATTCTCCATAAATTACTGGTGACATATGTTGCTTGAATAATACTAAACATGGACCATGATTACTATACTTTTTACGAAATGAATCAGCATTGAGTTCATCTCGAGTTCCGCGATGAAGAAGCTCGAACTTATATTTTTTCCTAAGTAAAGGGTAGCTTTCATTACGTCTTTCGATCCAACGAGCAATTATATAAGTAAGCTCTGGGTTGACGATTTTTGATTGAATCCTTCGAAGTCGTGGTGGTGAAATGATTGACTTTGGAAAGGTTTTTTTGTAATAGAATTCAGCGAGCTCTTCATAGATATCGCAAGGAATAACAGCTTTATAAGGACGAACATTATCGAAAAATTCCCCAGGCGAGATTTCCACAAATCCGACAAGGGGAATGAATTGACTCAAGGTTTCCTTCAAGGCTTCAAAATTCTTCTTACTCCATCTCGTTACATCATCATGCTTGCTTGCCAATCCAGGAGTATTCTCGATACCCCATTTGATTAAACTATTCCAGATATCAATTTCATTTTCAATAAATAAATTATCCATTTTAAGCAAGTCAAAGAGGGTGTCTTTATTAAGAGAGGGAAAGTATTTAGAAGTAAAAAATGGTCGTGGATTTGTACAGATTGATTTTATGCAATAATTTCGCAATTTTTTGTGGTGATCAAGTTTGAATGGGGAATTATGGATTAGGACGAAATTTCGTTCAATCCAATCGGTATGCTCTTCGATCAAGTGATCTTGGACATGTATGAATAATTCTTCAAGGAGTAAATCGTCGGCTGCAATTAATAATCCAAAGGTATCATCGGCTGAAGTTTTGATCAAGTAAAGTTCACCCGAGTAAATGTACCTTAAAGTTTATTAAAAAAAAAAAAATTTAGTTTTGAAATTATCTTCGTAACAATTTATATTGTGTAATTGAATATAACTTACGTTAAGATCATGTTAAAAACGACCGGAGTGAAGCTATGTTTATATTGCGTGATCAGGTCATTCTTCTTCGTAACCGAAAGAACGCGTTTAAAATATGAAGAACGAGCTCGTAAAATAATCGAATGTGCTCGGAATGATTTTGCATTTTTATCTTCACTAATCTGAATGATCACGTTGAAATCATCACCATCATTTAATCTCAAAGAGAGGTCTCTTGAAAGTCTGGAATAATTTACTAAAGTTGAGATATTTGATTTGATGGGTTTCGTTTTAATCTTTCTGGATCGCGCTTGTAACGAGAAAGTTTTCGGTATGGAGTTTCTATAGTGATATTTCTCGATTTCGTCATAAATCTGATTGGGAATAATAGCTTTATAAGGACGAACTTTATCATAAAAATCGTCAGGTGAAATTTCCATAAATCGAATAAGGGGGATGAATTGATTTAACGTTCTCCCCAACTCCTCAACATTCTCTTGACTCCATTTAGCAATATCGTTACTCAATCCATCAGTTTTTCTAATCCCCCATTCTATTAAACAATCCCAGATGACAATCTCTTTGGCTTGTAGATCATCCCTCCTAAGTAAGACAAATATGATGTCACCATCTAACGATGTAAAGCTTTTCGAGGTAATGATTAGTTGTGGATTTGCGCAGATTAATTCGAGACAACAATCTTGCAGCCTCTTGCAGCCAGGAAGTCTAAATACGGCATTAAGGATTAGGACGAAATTTTGTCTGACCTCTTGCTTTACCCAGGTAGATTTCTTTTCAACCAAGTAATCTCGAACATGATTAAATAATTCTTCGAGGAGTAACTCATCGGATGCAATTAGCAAGTCGAAAATATTCTTCCCCAATTGTTTGTTCAAATTTAGCTCACCCGTGTATAAATACCTTCATAATTGATGAAACGTTACATTTATTATAATCGGTATAAAATAATAATAATGGGATCACTTAAAAAACTTACTTTAAGATCATTTCAAAAACGATCGGAGTGATGTTCGGTTTATTAAATATGATTATGCCATTCTTCTTCATAATCCATTTAGGCGAAAGGGCCGCTTCAAAATATGGACTGCGTGCTCGTAAGATGACCGAATGTGCACGAAATATTTTTGAATTTGTGTATTCACCAGCTTTAATAATAACGTTAAAACCATCGGCATCATCTAATATTGTCGAAAGGTCTTTTGAAAGACCGGTGTGAAATAACGAAGACATATTTGAAAAAGGCTGTGAAATGATCAAACGGAATAGGTTGGATTGATGTAAATCGATTTATATGTACGCAAATAACTGGATGTAACACCAGTAATTGCATTTTACTGCGCACTATGGTTGATTTCAAGAAGTTTTTTATTTGACGTTACGATTTAATTACGTCTTTTTGATGATAGATTATCGGAATTCAATGAATATAAATTTATTGTCGTAGAAAGTTCGTTGTTTAAAAATTTGGGTGTAAATCCGAGAAAATATTATTCACCTTTTAATAGTATTTTTTTAATGAACATGAAAAACGAAGAAAGCTCCTGAAAGCGTAATGAAGAGTTTTCGTCTGGTTCGACAAAAAAGTCAAAAGTAATAGAAATTCCGATTAAAAAAAGCAAATTGAAAATTGGGTGAAATAAAAAATTCCGGGATTTTTCAAAAGTTATAGTTTGCTAACGGAATATTCTACCACTCTTCCCACTTTGTTCGTTTTTTTTGAACACAAATTATGCATCTAATTTATTCTAAATATAGCATAACTGGATTAAGAAATACCATCACGTGACATTCCAAATGAACTCCTTAAAAAAGAAAAAAATGAATGAAACTTCAAAATGGGGGCTTATAGTTGCAAATAAACAAGAAATATATATTTTTATTTATATTATTTATATTACTTATATTATATGCAGTATATACCGTTTGATATTTCTAATATTAACCTAAATATATTGAAATCATTAATTAGTATATGATAATACTTTCATTTAAAAACAACATCCATATGACAATCCTTGGGAGCGAGCGCAAGATTTCTCGACAAAGTTTGGGGCAACCTTTTTTGTGTAATTCTTTATCAACGCTTTGATTTTATCTCCCATCTAATTGGTTTATATTGCGTGTGAACGAACACCAAATCTTTTAGATTTTTCAATGAAAGAAGATCATCAAAGCGCTTCTTTTTTTCTGCCCATATTTAGGAAAATTTTTCTTTATATAGCGATTTAGTAATTAACGTTACCTAAAGAAAAAAAAATTAAATATCTGCATGTGAATCATCAATTTTTGTCAACAGATAAAAATTTTTTGTGAACACTGAATTAGATAAAGCATATCAAATTTTGGAAATAATCAATAAGATTGAGAAAAGTATCAAAGCGTTTATGAAAGGTAATAAAAATAATCAGAAAACAACTTATTGTATAATGACTGCTGCGCCAACTACAAATACTGGCATGGACTTTCCGTAAATAATATAATATACTTGAATAATAATAAATCATCATATCAATAACCCTTATTTTAGGAAAAGTACGTACAAATAAAAATTAGTAACAATAAGATAGACTTTCCGAAAGAAACCTTGCAAATTGACTTGAGATATTAATAATATTCAGACGGACACGTACTATCACGTGATTTTATTTTGGCGTCATACATTTTGACGAACGTATTATCATTAACATTTAAAGTTCATACAAAGAACCATACTCAGATTATTTTAAGTATAATTAAATATATCTTTTTAATTTCAAAAGGGACTCTCATTTGATGATAAATTATTATTTTGTCGAATATCAAAAATTGAATAGGATATTAAGTTTGAGCAGGATTTTCAATTAAGCGAAATTTGAATAATTCATCAACGCAATTAACAGTCCAAAAAAATGTTTTCAATAGGTTAATTTCCATATAAAAAAAAAACCTTCTGACCTGTGAGTTTGTGGTCAAAAGGATATGATTAATCTTTATATAATTGACCAAACAGAAGAGTATTTTTGAAGCACACCGAACTTAAAAAGCATACAACAAGAAGTTCAGCGATAACATACCTCAATATTACATCATACGCCATGCCTAAAAAACAAAATGCTTTAACAAAATAAAAAATAATGAGGAGAACGATTACGCCTGGATCACGAACCTGCAAGGCGGGGTCTTTTCAATCTAATACTTTCTCCCTCAACTCTAATTCTTTCTTAACCTTAAACTATCTCTCTCTATTCTAAAAGCGACAGAATTTTTTTTTGTCTGTAAATTGGTGGGAGCTCTTCCGTTACGAAAAATAGCAATGAGAACATGTATAACTACCGTTGTATTCAGTTATTTCGTTTATGTATTTATAAAATTTATAAACAATTTGTATTTAACCAGGAGTTTACTTTACTTTTATTAAGTAATTATGACGCTAAATTTATTTAATAAATGTTAATTAATCAGTGTTGTCTCTACGTTGGCGCCCTACACTTCGCAATTTCAATTGCTAATTGCTAAATGTTAATTAACTAAACTACACATAATATAATCGGAATATAAATTAATAAACAAAGAAATTAAAATAACGAAATTAAGTTACGTTACAATAGATAAAATTATGAAGTTAAAATAGCGAAGGCGATAATATCGCAAGGGAGAAAGGAAAGGATTAAGGTGTATATATGCAATATCCGCATGTTTAAACGACAGCCACTTCACAAAATGCTGATTAACCGACACCTTTTGTCCAACAATCAATTTAACCGACACCCATTTTGCTGACATTCATTTCACTGTACAGACATTTTTACCGACACCGCCAATTTACCGAAAATTAATTAAGCAACTAAATTACAAATAAAACATATTATTCGTGAAGTACACCTTTCAGTATTAGCGAAATCATTTACACATTTCATAGCTTCGGGAGAATCGAAGAGATTGCTCATAATATTCCTTTAAAGCTGACTTAAGTTACTAAAATGTAAAGTTATTCCTTAACAATAGCAACTTTACAACGTAACCATAAAGGAAGGCGAAGTGTGAATATAATATTAATTGTACATGCCATTCTTTGTTAAGAACCTCAAATCCCAACATATATATTAGAATTT